TTGTTATTATTATTATTATTATTATTATTTTGTTATTATTATTATTATTATTATTATTATTTTGTTATTATTATTATTATTTTGTTATTATTATTATTATTATTATTATTATTTTGTTATTATTATTATTTTTTATTATTATTATTATTATTATTTTGTTATTATTATTATTATTATTTTGTTATTATTATTATTATTTTATTATTATTATTATTATTGTTATTGTTATTATTATTGTTGCTGTTATATCGAAGGACATTCTAGGAAGAAAGACTCGAGAAAGAATAATAATAAATGTCGCCATTATTTGTTTAGATTTTTGTAATGTGAATGTTGCAGGAGTAGCGGAAATTGCCATTTAGGAGGAGGAAGAGGGAGAGATGGTGAGAGGAGATAGAGGGGGTGAGAGCCAAGATCAACTGAACCGGAAGCTGAGGCAGGTGGAGAGGGGTGGAGTGTGAGGGAGAGACAGGTGGTGAGGGAGGAACAGGTGAGGAGAGACAGGTGGTGAGGAGCGACAGTGAGGGAGAGACAGGTGGTGAGGAGGACAGGTGGTGAGGTGGAGGAGGGAGAGACAGGTGGTGAGGGAGGAACAGGTGGTGAGGAGAGACAGGTGGTGAGGAGCGACAGGTGGTGGAAGCGAGGGTGAGGAGAGACAGGTGGAGGGAGACAGGTGGTGAGGGAGCGACAGGTGGTGAGGGAGCGACAGGTGGTGAGGGAGAGACAGGTGGTGGGAGACAGGTGGTGAGGGAGACAGGTGGTGAGGGAGAGACAGGTGGAGAGGGAGAGAGAGAGGTGGTGAGGGAGAGACAGGTGGTGAGGAGCGACAGGTGAGGGGTGAAGTGGTGAGGAGAGACAGGGGTGAGGGAGAGGCAGGTGGAGAGGGGTGGAGTGGTGAGGAGAGACAGGGGGTGAGGGAGATGCAGGTGAAGAGGAGTGGAGTGTGAGGGAGAGACAGGTAGGAGCGACAGGTGGTGAGGGGTGAAGTGGTGAGGGAGACAGGGGGTGAGGGAGAGGCAGGTGGAGAGGGGTGAGTGGTGAGGAGGAGACAGGGGTGAGGGAGAGGCAGGTGAAGAGGGTGGGAGTGTGAGGGAGAGGTGGTGAGGGAGACACAGGTGAGGAGGAGGTGAGGAGACAGGTGGTGAGGGAGAGACAGGTGAGGAGAGACAGGTGGTGAGGAGAGACAGGTGGTGAGGGAGAGACAGGTGGTGAGGGAGAGACAGGTGGTGAGGGAGAGACAGGTGGAGAGGGAGAGACAGGTGGTGAGGGGAGAGACAGGTGGTGAGGGGAGCGACAGGTGGTGAGGGGTGAAGTGGTAAGGGAGAGACAGGGGCTGAGGGAGAGGCAGGTGGAGAGGGGTGGAGGGTGAGGAGAGACAGGGGTGAGGGAGGCAGGTGAAGAGGAGGAGTGAGGGAGACAGGTGGTGAGGGAGAGACAGGTGGTGAGGGAGCGACAGGGTGAGGGGTGAAGTGGTGAGGGAGACAGGGGTGAGGAGAGGCAGGTGGAGAGGGGTGGAGGTGAGAGAGAGACAGGTGGTGAGGGAGCGACAGGTGGTGAGGAGAGGCAGGTGGTGAGGAGAGACAGGTGAGAGAGACGGAGGAGAGACAGGTGGGAGGGAGAGACAGGTGGGAGGAGAGACAGGTGGTGAGGGAGAGACAGGTGGTGAGGGAGATACAGGTGAGGGGAGAGACAGGTGGTGAGGGAGACAGGTGGAGAGGGAGAGACAGGTGGAGAGGAGACAGGTGGTGAGGGAGAGACAGGTGGTGAGGGAGGACAGGGTGAGGGGTGTAGGTGAGGGAGAGACAGGGGTGAGGGAGAGACAGGTGAGAGGGGTGGAGTGGTGAGGAAGAGACAGGTGAGGGAGACTGTGGTGAGGGAGGACAGGTGGTGAGGGAGATACAGGTGGTAGGAGAGACAGGTGGTGAGAGAGACAGGTGGAGAGGGAGGGACAGGTGGAGAGGGTGAAGTGGTGAGGGAGAGACAGGTGAGGGAGAGAGCAGAGGAGAGACAGGTGGAGGAGGTGGAGGTGAGGAAGAGACAGGTGGTGAGGGAGGCAAGTGGTGAGGGAGAGACAGGTGGTGAGGGAGAGACAGTGGTGAGGGAAGGAGGGCGGGGAGAGACAGGTGGTGAAGGAGGAGCTGGGAGACAGGTGGTGAAGGACGGGTCAGAGAGACAGGTGGTGAGGGAAGGAGGAGTGGAGAGAGGACCCTGAGACACGCCATCTGTCTCTTTCAACACGAACTTGAAGATGACGTCACAATCACACGCTAACCTGAGCAGCGCTGTAACAAAAAAGTAGACTTAATACATAGAGCGGTGTCCTTACTGTGTGTGTCAGGAACCTGTGATAGTATACTGTGTGTGTCAGAACCTGTGATAGTATACTGTGTGTGTCAGAACTGTGATAGTATACTGTGTGTGTGTGTGTCAGAACCTGTGATATATACTGTGTGTCAGAACCTGTGTATACTGTGTGTGTGTGTGTCAGAACCTGTGATAGTATACTGTGTCAGAACCTGTGATAGTATACTGTGTGTGTGTGTGTCAGAACCTGTGATAGTATACTGTGTGTGTCAGAACCTGTGATAGTATACTGTGTGTCAGAACCTGTGATAGTATACTGTGTGTCAGAACCTGTGATAGTATACTGTGTGTGTCAGAACCTGTGATATATACTGTGTGTGTCAGAACCTGTGATAGTATACTGTGTGTGTCAGAACCTGTGATATATACTGTGTGTGTCAGAACCTGTGATAGTATACTGTGTGTGTCAGAACCTGTGATAGTATACTGTGTGTGTCAGAACCTGTGATATATACTGTGTGTGTCAGAACCTGTGATAGTATACTGTGTGTGTGTGTGTCAGAACCTGTGATATATACTGTGTGTGTGTGTGCAGAACCTGTGATAGTATACTGTGTGTGTGTGTGTCAGAACCTGTGATAGTATACTGTGTGTGTGTGTGTCAGAACCTGTGATATATACTGTGTGTCAGAACCTGTGATAGTATACTGTGTGTGTGTCAGAACCTGTGATAGTATACTGTGTGTGTGTCAGAACCTGTGATATATACTGTGTGTGTCAGAACCTGTGATAGTATACTGTGTGTGTCAGAACTCGTGATAGTATACTGTGTGTGTGTCAGAACCTGTGATAGTATACTGTGTGTGTCAGAACCTGTGATAGTATACTGTGTGTGTGTGTGTCAGAACCTGTGATAGTATACTGTGTGTGTCAGAACCTGTGATAGTATACTGTGTGTCAGAACCTGTGATAGTATACTGTGTGTCAGAACCTGTGATAGTATACTGTGTGTCAGAACCTGTGATAGATACTGTGTGTGTGTGTGTCAGAACCTGTGATAGATACTGTGTGTGTGTCAGAACCTGTGATAGATACTGTGTGTCAGAACCTGTGATAGTATACTGTGTGTGTCAGAACCTGTGATAGTATACTGTGTGTGTCAGAACCTGTGATAGATACTGTGTGTGTCAGAACCTGTGATAGTATACTGTGTGTGTGTCAGAACCTGTGATATATATGTGTGTCAGAACCTGTGATAGTATACTGTGTGTGTGTGTCAGAACCTGTGATATATACTGTGTGTGTCAGAACCTGTGATAGTATACTGTGTGTGTGTGTGTGCAGAACCTGTGATATATACTGTGTGTGTGTGTGTGTGTCAGAACCTGTGATATATATTGTGTGTCAGAACCTGTGATAGTATACTGTGTGTGTGTGTGTCACCTGTGATATATACTGTGTGTCAGAACCTGTGATAGTATACTGTGTGTGTGTGTGTCAGAACCTGTGATAGTATACTGTGTGTGTGTGTGTCAGAACCTGTGATAGTATACTGTGTGTGTGTGTGTCAGAACCTGTGATATATACTGTGTGTCAGAACCTGTGATAGTATACTGTGTGTGTCGTGAACCTGTGATATATACTGTGTGTGTCAGAACCTGTGATAGTATACTGTGTGTGTCAGAACCTGTGATAGTATACTGTGTGTGTCAAAACCTGTGATAGTATACTGTGTGTGTCAGAACCCAGATATATTCTGTGTGTGTTCAGAACCTGTGATAGTATACTGTGTGTGTCAGAACCTGTGATATATTCTGTGTGTGTCAGAACCTGTGATAGTATACTGTGTGTGTCAGAACCTGTGATAGTATACTGTGTGTGTCAGAACCTGTGATAGTATACTGTGTGTGTCAGAACCTGTGATAGTATACTGTGTGTGTCAGAACCTGTGATAGTATACTGTGTGTGTCAGAACCTGTGATAGTATACTGTGTGTGTCAGAACCTGTGATATATTCTGTGTGTGTCAGAACCTGTGATAGTATACTGTGTGTGTCAGAACCTGTGATAGTATACTGTGTGTCAGAACCTGTGATATATACTGTGTGTCAGAACCTGTGATAGTATACTGTGTGTGTGTGTGTCAGAACCTGTGATAGTATACTGTGTGTGTCAGAACCTGTGATAGTATACTGTGTGTGTCAGAACCTGTGATAGTATACTGTGTGTGTCAGAACCTGTGATAGTATACTGTGTGTGTCAGAACCTGTGATTCATGACACGTCGAAGTTATGACACCTCATCCTCGACTAAAACAAAACTCCCATCCCTCCTTCCTTTCTTTCTTTCTGTTCATCCTTCCTTCCTTCCTTCCTTCTTCCTTCCTTTTCAAAACCACTTTCCCATGCTGACAGTGACGTGATGTGTGCAAGGGAAGGTTGATCTCATAGTGATTACCTTATTAGGACAAATTATAGTCTTCCTACACCCATGATTATAGTCTTCCTACGCCCATGATTATAGTCTTCCTACGCCCATGATTATAGTCTTCCTACACCCATGATTATAGTCATTTTACACCCATGATTATAGTCTTCCTACACCCATGATCAAGTGCTATTGCGTGTGCGTATTAAACGTTGTACAGTGTGTGTGTGTGTGTGTCAGTCTTAACCATGAGTATTATTTACCTTACAGCCGTGGAGGTGGTGGTGAGCGCGGGGTGAGGGAGGCAAGATCCTAAATGGCGAAGGTAGACAGTTGGCGCGTCTGGCTGCCTCCTCCTCTTCCTCCACCGCCCCGCCCTCGCAATGGACGGTCGTCATGCCCACGCCCCTCACACCACGGCAGGACCAAAACCTCTCGTCTTCGCCAAGGTAAGTCCGCTAATACTCTCTCTCTCTCTCTCTCTGTTATATTGGTCGTAAAATAGTTGCAGTGAAGAGTCGTCATCTAGAGGACATAAACAAACGCTGCTTCTGTAACGTGATGGACGATAGAAGAAGTAACAGTATATAAAGGTATGAGGTGTAGAGAGGGAAGGAGAGGGAGGAGGTAGAGGGAGGAGGGAGGAAGACCTGTGGAAGGAGGGAGAAGAAGGTGTGAGGATGGAGAGAGAGGGAGGGGAGAGAGAAAGGGAGGGAACTTGGCGAGTTTGCTAGTCGGATCACGGCGGCTGAGACCTTCACCTGAGAGTCAACTACACCAGGTGGCTTATGCTGTAAACCTGCCGCCCTGCCCCGCCTTTTCCTTCCCTGTCCTCCCCTGACCTGGCCTCTCAGTCTATTACTATACACCTTGGCCTCTGTCTATCATTATACACCCTGGCCTCTGTCTATCATTATACACCCTGGCCTCTGTCTGTCATTATACACCCTGGCCTCTGTCTATCATTATACACCCTGGCCTCTGTCTATCATTATACACCCTGGCCTCTGTCTTATCATTATACACCCTGGCCTCTGTCTGTCATTATACACTGTCTATGGCTGTGCCTGGCCTCTGTCTATCATTATACACCCTGGCCCTCTGTCTATCATTATACACCCTGGCCTCTGTCTATCATTATACTCTGGCCTCTGTCTATCATTTGGCCTCTGTCTATCTATACACCCTAGCCTCTGTCTATCATTATACTCGCCTGTCTATCATTATACACCCTGGCCTCTGTCTGTCATTATACACCCTGGCCTCTCATCACTACACCCTGGCCTCTCTGTCTATCATTATACACCCTGGCCTCTCAGTCTATCATTATACATCCTGGCCTCTCAATGTGTCATTATACACCCTGTCCTCTGTCTATCATTATACACCCTGGCCTCTCAATCTATCATTATGCACTCTGGCCTCTGTCTATCATTATACACCCTGGCCTCTCCAGTTTATCATTATACACCCTGGCCTCTCAGTCTATCATACACCTGACCTCTCAGTCTATTACTATACACCTTGGCCTCTCAGATTATACCCCTGGCCTCTCTATTCACCCTGGCCTCTGCTATCATTATACACCCTGGCCTCTCAATCTATCATTATGCACTCTGGCCTCTGTCTATCATTATACACCCTGGCCTCTCAGTTTATCATTATACACCTAGCCTCTCTGTCTATTATTATACACCCTAGCCTCTCTGTCATTATACACCCTGGCCTCTCTATCATTATACACCCTAGACTCTCTGTCTCATTATACACCCTGGCCTCTCAGTTTATCATTGTACACCCTAGCCTCTCTGTCTATCATTATTATACACCCTGGCCTCTCTGTCTATCATTATACACCCCTAGCCTCTCTGTCTATCATTATACACCCTATCTGTCTATCATTATACACCCTAGCCTCTCTGTCTATCTCTATTCTACCCTGGGTCATTATCTAGCCTCTCTGTCTATCATTATACACCCTGGCCTCTGTCTATCATTATACACCCTAGCCTCTCTGTCTATCATTATACACCCTGGCCTCTGTCTATCATTATACACCCTAGCCTCTCTGTCTATCATTATACACCCTAGCCTCTCTGTCTATCATTATACACCCTAGCCTCTCTGTCTATCATTATACACCCTGGCCTCTCAATGTGTCATTATACACCCTGGTCTCTGTCTATCATTATACACCCTGGCCTCTGTCTATCATTATACACTCTGGCCTCTGTCTATCATTATACACCCTGGCCTCTCAGATTATACACCCTGGCCTCTCAGTTTATCATTATACACCCTGGCCTCTCTGTCTATCATTATACACCCTGGCCTCTCAATGTGTCAGTCAGTGTATGGCGTTGTGTCAATCTTTCTGTAGTTTGTGTGAGTATTTGTCAGTGTCAATGCTCGCGTGTCAACATGTGGTCCTGTGTCAGATGTGCGTATAGACAGTTGTGTGGATGACTGTTAGTTTATATTAATGATGTGTCAGTCAGAGTGTCAGCCTGTGATATCGTCTGTCAGAATTTGTGATGATATAATCTTCTGTGAGGGTTGTCCACTACACGTCAGTCATAATAAGTGGAGCAGTTTATGTGTAGAGGGTAGCAGTGTGTGTGTGTGTGTGTGTGTCAGCTAGTTCGCGTCAGTGTGTGTGTCAGTTGGCGTCAGTGAGTTGATGAGGAAGTATCAGGGAAGTAATTATAATTTTTCTTAATGTTGTTGCGGAAGCTCCTACCCCCCCCCCTCCCTCCTCGCCAACACTGACGTCATCACAAGGTTCACAACTCTTACTAATTACTTTTATTCTAAACTCCTCGTTCACGTGTCTCTGATGTAGTGACTTTAATTGTCCAGCGAGTTTTATCTTCTTTTTAATTTCACAGTTGTAGCCTCTTGTTAGGTCGAAGATAATACGTCTTTTGAGTTGTGTGTGTGGGTGGCGAAGCATTGTTCATTTTCCTCTCAAGTGGACGTCAGTGTGTGTGCCTTTGTTAGTATGTAGTATTATGTAAGACAGTATGTGGTAGTCTTGGAGTTAGTATGTAGTTGTGTTGTTTTTAATCTGAGAGTGACATACAGACACCCTCTGCAGTCAGCCAGATCAAACAAATGGTCTTTACTCTTGGCATTCATACGTGTGACCTTTGATCGTCTGTGTGTATTAGTCTGGGTGAACTTGGTCTCCTCCTGTATGGTGCGCGGGTGAAAGACTAGTAGGCTCTCAACACGATCCTCTTTAGGGACTTTTGGTCTTAATCGGGGGTTGGGAGTTGGTTTCTCGGGGGAACTAACTGTCCCAAGTGTCACCAGAGAATTTGTTGTAGTACGTCTCTACTTCACTTCTACTGTTTGTTGTTGTAGACGTTCAGGGTTAAGTTAGGATGTCTATAGTGTTGTGTTCTCAGAGTATTTGGCTGGACAAGAACTTAATACCTCAATCTTTCAAAGAACATATTCAATTTAGTATACAGTATAGCTTATGATGTACTAAATTAATACATTACAAGTGTATTCGACAACCATGAGAGAGTAATAAGAGCCGTGATAGTGTCAACAGTAGGGTCAGCTGCGGCAGGTACAGTACAGCACCGTCAGGTAATCAGTGAAATGATCTCGGTGATGGAGTCTTCCGCCCGACGGCTTGATATATGTCCCTACCAGGCGCCACCCAGACCTTCTTCCTCTGCAACTGTAATTACCTGAGTCCATCATGTATAACTGTGATTACTTGAGTCCATCATGTATGACTGTTGTTACGAACCCCGCCACCAATTGTCATGATCTACCTACCCAGCACTACGAACCACGCCATCTATTGTCCTGATCTACCTACCCAGCACCACGAGCAACGCCATCTAGGGACGAAACACGAGTATGACTCGTCTTAGTTACCACTCCGGGGTTTCCCTTCTCCATATCCTGGTTGTTGCGTCACTTCCTCAAAGTCTTCTTTGTCAGCTCCAATTCGAAGAGAGAGCAGTACACTCTGGGAAGTGACCACAGGATCACCTATCCTGGAAACCTACGGCACAGTGACTACCTACCGTCTTCTACAATACTCAGCCTTGCTCGTCAGCCATCTCAGCTCCGCACTTAAGTATTTGTAATCTTATATTGCCTCCCCCACGTCCACTTGCTTCAAAATTGTTTATTTTGTATAAATATGTATATACTGTTAATGTTTAGGTTAAGTTTGGTTAAGGGTAAATTATAGAAAGCTGAATATTATGTTAAGGAATTTATGGCACTTTATTATACACAACAAAAACTCTCATCCTTTGTCTACCCTTTTATAGTCCGATTGTCTTTGTTTTTTTGTTTTTTTGTTTCCTGTTGGGATCTGGGTAGACTTTTAACTATATTCTAAATCCCCAACTCGTAACACTGTGATTACTTGAGTCCACCATGTCTAACTGTGATTACCTGAGTCCATCATGTATGACTGCGATTACCAGAGTCACCATGTCTAACTGTGATTACCTGAGTCCACCATGTCTAACTGTGATTACCTGAGTCCACCATGTCTAACTGTGATTACCTGAGTCCAACTGTGATTACCTGAGTCCACCATGTCTAACTGTGATTACCAGAGTCCACCATGTATGACTGTGATTACCTGAGTCCACCATGTATAACTGTGATTACCTGAGTCCACCATGTCTAACTGTGATTACCTGAGTCCACCATGTCTAACTGTGATTACCAGAGTCCATCATGTCTAACTGTGATTACCGGAGTCCACCATGTCTAACTGTGATTACCGAGTCCACCATGTCTAACTGTGATTACCTGAGTACACTATGTCTAACTGTGATTACCAGAGTCCATCATGTATGACTGTGATTACCTGAGTTCATCATGTATAACTGTGATTACCTGAGTCCACCATGTATGACTGTGATTACCTGAGTCCATCATGTATAACTGTGATTACCTGAGTCCACCATGTATGACTCTGATTACCTGAGTCCACCATGTATAACTGTGATTACCATCCATCATGTATGACTGATTACCTGAGTTCATCATGTATAACTGTGATTACCTGAGTCCACCATGTATAACTGTGATTACCAGAGTCCATCATGTATGACTGTGATTACCTGAGTCCACCATGTATAACTGTGGATTACCTGAGTCCACCATGTATGACTGTGATTTGAGTCCACCATGTATAACTGTGATTACCTGAGTCCACCATGTATGACTGTATTACCTGAGTTCACCATGTATAACTGTGATTACCTGAGTCCACCATGTATGACTGGATTACCTGAGTCCACCATGTATGACTGGATTACCTGAGTCCACCATGTATGACTGTGATTACCTGAGTCCACCATGTATGACTGGATTACCTGAGTCCACCATGTATGACTGTGATTACCTGAGTCCACCATTGTGACTGGATTACTGGAGTCCACCATGTAGACTGTGATTACCT